ATTGAGAATGGAAGAAAAATGTTGCCTAGGCTTGGTGTATGCTTAATTTTACTAGTATAATTGATGTCGCTTTGCCAAACTCGGCTCTTTGTCTGCCACATGATAATCTCTCCACATAATCATGGCGATTGATGCCATGTGGCAACTTGATACCTAAGAAACAGTAACCAAAGTTTTACCTTTGGTTGCATATGTTTGGAAGAAATCTATATGACACATTAAGTGATGCTTGCTAGCATGGTTGATGTTCTAAGAATATCTTAGACTTTGTTTCACATGAAAAGTACAAAGGGGAGGGGGCAAGGATCAGGGCCATAATTTATCTGAGTGTGCCATACTTCATCTTATTTGATGATCAGTGATGATATACAACTATTTTCTCTATGCTCAATAAAAGAATATAACTTATTTTCTCTATGCTCAATAAAAGAAAAAATATATATAAACACTAGAAAATATAAAAATTAAAAAAAAAATATTTTCTCTATTTACAAGGAGCATGTTCTTTCCGAAACTTATTGATTTATTGTGCTAGAAATTAAATATTCATGTTCATCCTTATCGCAATTTTAAAGTTTTGCTATAGGCATGAGCAAATGGGAGCAAAGCCATTCGATTGTTTCTTGAGCTTTTAATTAATTTTTTTTTTTTGGGGTGAGTTTTATTTTTATTAAAATTGCATGCATGCGAGCGGACATTTTGAGTTTTCCGATATACTAAATGGAAAGTAAAATGATAATTTGCTCCCTCATTTAGTGGCTTAGAAGTGCTGACCACATGCAGGTGACAATCAGTTTAGGAGTATTGGAAGAGAAAAGAAATGAGTTTTTTTTTAAAAAGGTCTTTTTTACTAAATAATTAGCAAAGCTGACCGTTTTGCTAAAAACTATTCATTAGAAACATACAGGACTACTAGTCCCGTAGATTTTGTTGCTTAAGCAGGACCCCAACCCCGAAGTCCTCCTCCTCTACTTCTTCGACATCTCTAGAGCTCCAGGAATAAGAATCCCTCACCGCCTCCACCGCCTCCCTCCCCAATTCCTCCTCCTCTTCCATCCCTCCCTCCTCCCTCTGTTCCCTCTTCTCCCTACCCCCAAACGCTAACCCTAACCCTGATCTCCTCCTCCATCTCGGCCCCTCGATCGTCTCCCTCCTCTTCGACGCCACGGATCTAGTCTCCTAGCTCCACTTCTTGACCAGCTACAACAGGTGCTGCTCCCAAATGTCTGTCTCTTCATCCCTCAACCTAGTCTTTAAATTGTACTTTGAATTGTGCGATCGAGCTCAGATCCCTTGCAAATTGGAGTTCGATTCGGGGTCTAACAAGGTCGGGGGGTGCTTAGGGCTTCGGATCTGATGGCGTTGTATGTGATTTGCTGGGTGATGGAGAGGTCTTGGAGGGTTGGGAACAGAAATGAAGTTGTTGGGGTTGCTGGAGATGTTCAATTTTGAGGATGTTGGTAGGGCCTAGTTGGTAGGGCCTAGTTGAAGAAGAGCCAGTCCTTTTGCATCAAGGGGTGGGTTTTGAGGACTTGGTTGACGGTGAAGGAGTCCCAGCGGATGGGGAGGGAGAGGAGGTGGGACTGGGCGGTGGGCCATAGGGAGGAACAGAGGGGAGGAGTTGAGCCAGAAGAGGGAGAGGACTTTGGGGTTGGGGTAGTGCTTAAGCAACAAAATCTACGGGACTAGTAGTCCCGTAGATTTTGTGGCGTGGTTATTAGTCGGTAATTAATGGTCTAAACATACGGGACTAGTAGTCACGTATGTTTCAAATGGGCAGTTTTTCAAAACTGACATCTTTTTGGCCTATTGGCCAAAAAGAGATCGTTTTTGCTAAATAATTAGCAAAACGGTCGGTTTTGCTAATTTTTTAGCAAAAAATATCTTTTTCAAAAGGATCCCGAAAAGAAATATCTCACAAACTTAAAATAAGAACGTTGACGGTTGCGAGTGGTAGATTGTTCGTTACCACTCATGCTAAATCAATAGAGGAAAGAGTTGGATGTAGGTTTGGACATAGGTTTGGAGTTGCTTTAGGGACACGTGTCCCCTTCACGGCGTGAGTGAGAGCCACTCGCGACTATGGCTAAAATTTCTTAATGTATTAGAGTCATAACATAATGGTCCTTTCGTTGACCTTGATATGTTGTGTCATTATCTATCATGTATCTTGAAGTTCACATTTGTGCCAGATGTATTGAGAACTAAATTCTAAATGTAAGCTGTGAGAGGCCTAACAAAACTATTTTGTTTGGGACTTAAATAGGAATTATCCTTTTTTACTCTTTTTGGATAAATTTCATAAAACCACCTTAAGTTTATATAACCACCTTAACTTTCAAAACATCACAAAAGCGCCCATCCCCACTGGCCCCCGCCCACCCTCCCTCCACCCAAAAAAAAAGAAAAAAAGAAAACCCCCTTCGACTTTAAATGTATCTTAGAAACCCCCTAATATCATTAATTTTGGAGATTTTTTGACAAAACTCAAAAGCGAATCTATGTTGACATTTCTTGAACCCCCCCCCCCCCCCCAAACAAGTTGGAATGAATGTTGAAAAGTAAAATTGTTAATTAGAGGGTTTTCTAAGAAACCTTAAAGGAGGTGTTGTGACATTTTGAAAATTAAGAAGAGTTTATATAAGAAAATTGCACAAACTCTGTTTGGAGTTGTTTTTTTAGTGTAGGGGGTGTAGGTGTTGTGTGTAGTGAAATCAACGAACACGAACACAAACGACATAAGAGCACAAATCAACAACCAAAAACTAGAACCACACCAGCAAGACACCAAATTTATTTGGTTTGGTAATGTTCCTACGTCTAGGGGGCAAGGAGGAGATAAATATCACTGAGAGAGAGAGAGAGAGAGAGAGAGAGAGAGAGAGAGAGAGAGAGAGAGAGAAAATAAA